TGGATGATAGACTTGTTCGCATTTTTCAGGATAGTAATAATAAAGTAAATAACAATCTCATGTCTGTGTGTTATGTACAGAAGCAGCAATGCGCCTACTCAAACCATTTTTATTGCTGATGTACCCCCGTGGCCCTTCATTACCCAACATGTTCTGAATATATTGATTTTAATAGATGTAAAGGTTGATGTTATAAAAGTGTTGTTATTATTAAGTATAATGTAAATATAATACATTTTCCATTTGTACTACTACCACTTATGGTGGTATAAGCTGGACAACTTAACCATGTATCCATCATTTCCTGTTTTATCTATACATTTCAACTATTCAGCCACTTTTACAGTAGCTTACTGTATCCGCTTTTAATAAATTACATTTGGGTAACTTTCACCTGTGTAGTCTTCACATTTCAACTGCTTATAAATTAGATTAACCATTTCAGTTGTGAATTATTATTTTGAACAAACATACTTCCTTTAAAGTGGCTTTAATTGATGCTTTGACCACTTGAGAGAAGTATAACGAGCTGCAAACACAACATTTACATATTATTACAAAATGTTTGTAGGGCCAATGTCAGCAACACCTGCCTCTTTACACACCTCAGAGCCACATTTGTCTGCTGTTTAGTGCTGAGCAGGTAGTGTACAGTGGGTTTTAGCTGAAAAGGCTGCCTGATGCAGCTGGAAACAAGATTAATGTGAACGGAGTTTGTAAAAGGTAAACTAAAATAATAAGCTAAACAAGGATAAAACACTTTATAGCACTGAGGCAAATGGTGAGTTGACTTATTTTCTGTGGGTCTGCCACTATGAACAACAACTTTAATACTACACATAATGTATTACATTGTTGATACTGATTGTTGCTGCTTCAAAAAACAATGCTCCTGTCTTGTGTATTATTACACAAATGTATTTTATATTCATTGAAAGGAATGAGATGAAGTTTAACTGTTTGGGTCTCACTGCAGCTTATTTGTCTAGAAATGTTCCTTGATTCGATTATCTAATGTAGCTATATGTTAACAGCACTGAAATTACCTTATTTTCTGTCTGCCAATATAGCAGCTGTTAGAATTTGTGATATTAAAGGCAGGACCTCAATTATTTTACTCCTCTATGACATTGCAGTATGATACTGATGCAACCAAATAACTGACAATGCAAGAAAGCCTCTGAAAAAGAGGGCAAAATGATATTAACAGTTCCACAGTGGACTTCATGTGTGGCATTAGAGTAAGTGTGTCTAAGTATAGGTGTGTGTTTGCCACTGTGTTAGTGTTTGTTTCTCTTATTGAAGAACTGGGAATTGCCACCACTCCTGGTTGCATCAAAGGAAGGAGGGAAACAGGGAGGGAGGGAAAAAAGGAGGAATGTAATGTGTGGGAAGGTTTTGCTTACAAAGGAACACCATTCAGCTGAGACGTCCACTTGAATACGAGTGGAGACGAACGACCCGATCGATAAACGGATACAAGCATCCCAGCCTGCTGAGCTCAGCAGGGGGGGAAAAAAATGGGGCAGCAGGAACGAAAACATGGGTGTGCAGAAAATGCCCCCCATCTCATTCTCCCTCTAGTTCTCCTGCTTCTTACTCTGAACGCATTCCCCTACTCTAGCCTCCCAGCCAAAAACACCTCTCTTCCTGTTAGCCCCTCTCCTCTCTCTGTCTCTCTGCCTCCTTCTCTGCAGCAGACTAGAGCACAGTCAGCTACTACAAGGACTGCAGTGTTACGCTATAGCACAAGCTGGGTGTGTGTGTGTGGGGGGGTGAACAGTGATAATAAGCAATCCAGCGCTCAGCTCTGATGTCGTGGTAATAAACCAACCTGAGCTGTCAGTGGTGATGACGAGGAAAAAAGGAAGGGGGGGGGCAGGACTGTACAAACTGTACAGTAATAGAGGAGAGGACAGGAGGGAAAGAAGAGAAATCCCTGCCACCTTGCAAGGATGTTATACTTTATAGGCCTAACAGATAGCTGTATAAATTGAAAGGGTCACTCAGTCCTTCACTTTCCATTGTCCAGCATTTCCTTCTTCTGCGGATAATACAATGACAGGGATGTTCTCCACCAAGTCACAACCAGGCCAGCCAACTCACTTCAGCCTACCTGATCGCTGCTGCTGCTGCTCTGCCTGTCCCTGTCCACCTCTTCTTATATCACTGAGTTGGCATCAAATCTACTGACTGCAACACTTTCAAAGTCACCTCAGCTGTCATATTGACCACGCCAACACGACACCACCCTGGCATTCATTTTGTTTGGTTTTTTACTGCAAGTTTTTATGGCAAATAACATCCATCATAACAAGTCACATACAAGATGCAGCTGCAACAAAGGAGAGTGCTTGTCCTACAAAGTACAGTAGATCATGCTCATTTAGTATAATTTGCAATAAATCAATAGAGAATGTGAAGGTCCATCATGCCGCTTTAAATGTTGGAATGGAGGGTCATTTTGGGAGGGAGGCACTGTATTTACCTGCAAAAAAGTTGCTTAAATCATTGAGATCTCACTTTATTGACTGCGGTATTTCAAAATGGATAACCTTAGCTGACTGTAGCTAACTCATAGTAAAGCTAGAGATCCCATCAATGAGAGGGTCAGACTGAAAAATGACTCTGCCCTCTGATCTCAGCTCTAGCTAGCAGCTGTTGGCAGATAACACAAATACTGCAGATGTATCAGTTTCTATCCTGTCTGTTCTCAAGCTGAACTCTAAAGTGGACGTTTGGATGTAGTTGAAGCATATGAAAAGAAAGAAAACAGGAGTGCATGACAAAGATGGGAAAGCAAAAGAAATAAGAATAAGGAGGGGACTGAAATATAAGAATCCTAAAAATCCTTCATTTCCGGTTAATACTATCAACACACAAACTGATGCTGCCCAACAACTCTTGTCAAACTTTTTATAGTTCTGGCTTTCTACATGTCAACCACAACATGGTATTAACATAATACTCCAATGACTGTTCAATGCCAAAATAATAATAATGTTGAGCTGAGTCTTAATTTTCACTTTTTAAGCACTGTAACTATGAGCCTCCCCTAATCTTAGCAGGTGATTTTTTTCAACGATATACATACAGTTTGATGGTAGCTGTTTCCACACCCAGTAAAAAAGCAGAACACTGGCTGACAGTTGTCAGTCTGCAGGGATAATACTAAAATATTTTTGTGAGCAAAAACAAGTGAGCAATGATTCTCTCATCAGCTAAGCTAAGGAGAACCAACACTTGCTTATAGCTTTGTACTATTCTCCAACCTTGCCAGTCCTCTTTTTATGGTCAGGTTCTTAGTGGATGAGACTGTGTACCTATAGGGTTAGCTGAAGCCTTGGGCCAGAGAACCTGGCGGCGACTCAGACCTCACCTTAACCTCAAACTGCTAAGACTGTATCTTCTTGCAGTGTATTATAGGGAGGAGGCAACTCTGGTGGAGAGAGGTTATCCTCCTTGTATGACCCTGAGAGCCATCGCTATCCATGTTATCCTAAAAGTGTCTAATGGCATAGTCATGGTCATTGTGTCCGTCTGCCCACTTACATGAACTGTGTACCTTTAGCTTCATTGCAACCTTCAAGAAACTGATCACAAAAACATTTCTTCGTGTTGCGAGCAGGATACTGCTACATGCTATTTGTGCTGAGAGAACAACACCCTCTTCACTTTTGAGCCATAAAGAATTGTATGCTATTTCTCTGCTGTAAAGTAGTGCAGAGAGTTTAATGTAAAATTCCAACCAGCCGTGCATTAGACACAATATATAGGCTAACTATGGCAATTTGATTCACTGCTACACTTGTTACAGTCTAATATGAATGACTATGTGTTCACAAGCAGACTAAAACATGATACATTCAAAGTAATACCAACCAGTTGCGATGGATACTGAAGGACGAGTAGTGTTTTATAGTACAACACTGATCACTCCATCATCTATAGACAAATGCATCCACACGCACATTTGTGTTCATGTGCATATACACTGAAAAAAAAGATCTGTCGGATTTACTTCATTGTAATGTGTACATCGCTCCCACACAATGATAATGTGTAAAACCAACATAATTTTCTTTAGGGGTTAACTTGTTTGAATTATGCAGAGGAAATATGAATGAATTGCATTGCATATACTAGCATAATTTGTGTAAATCCAAAGACCCAGTGAGTCCTTTTTTCAGCATGTGTTCACCTCTACACACACACACACACACACACACACACACACACACACACACACACACACACATTTATCTTTGAAATTACTACTGCTTACATGATTTTTGCTTGTTTCATAGAGAAACCAGACGAATGGATGACATTCGCTACCCTACCCTACGCTATCAACTGATAGACTTTCACTCCTGCTGGTTCATAAGTCTATAATTGTACTGCAGCACCATTTACACCAAATGTGGACCGAAAGAGGAAAGAATAGGATCCTAAATTAGGGCCATTCCCAATTCAGTCATGTCAAAACTATTAAGTACTTTGTTGGAGAAATAGCTTGGCACGTAGACACTGGAGAACAAAGCATTAAAAGAGGAGGGAGAGAGAGAAGGATCGACTGATGCACACTGACAAATGGACATCAGCCGTTGCCAGGTTGTAAAATAAGGGTATCAGTGGGAAAAGCAGGGGAAGAACAGTGGCAGGGCTTTTTTTTAAGCAGAAGACAGGGGTTAAAGTGACAAGCAAAATGTTCAAAATGTTACACAAAAATGAGGAGAGAAAGAAAAAGCAGTGGTTCTATCTATCTATCGATCTATCTCGTGTTTTTTTTTTTTTTTTTTTTTTTTTACACAGCAGTGAATTTGACATCCGGAGTAACTTTGCTCTCAACAGTGCGCAATGGCCAAAACAGACAGTGCTAAGGGTGGATGTATCAGTGCACAAAAAGAACAGAGAAAGAAAGCCGAAACGAAAAAACAAATGATTTAGGGATATAGACTGTAGAAAGGAGCAGAACAGACACACGTCCGGCCACTCACCCGAGCATATTTGGAGGAGTAGGGGTCCTCGAACAGCGCCCACATCTTGGCCTGCCACACCTCCCACCACGTCGCCCTGCGGCCGTCCTCCTTCATGCACAGACGCTTCAGGTCGCCATCCGCCCAGCCGGTGAGCGCCGGGGCATCCTCGGGT